AAATAATTGATAGTTAAGCATTCTTTCTGTTTAATTCCGTTCTCTAGTCCCCTGAGTTCATTCTAAAACTCGCTTTACTTTCCGGTCTTCTCCTGTCCTGACCAAATAAAAAAATAGGCTGCAGACCACTACAGCTACTCTAAACTGCAGAGAAACGCATATGCGATTTCCCCTAGTTTGCTTTCCAACCCACATAATGAGTTACCGGTGCAAAGTGGTAATATTTATTTATACTCAATTATTTACACAAATACTATTAAACATTTTAATGAAATAAGTTATGTCAAAATTTACTTTGGATACATATATTATGTGTCAGTTCATTTGAACACATTTCTGTTATTTACACAAAATTCAGGAGAATCTCATATATATATAAAAATTGAGGTCTCACAATTTCCCAGTTGATGCTGCTATGTTATGAATTTTCAACTTCTGGCATAATTTAAAAAAAAATAAGCAGTTGTACAAAGTATCGTGCAAAAGTTCAAAAAAATTAAATTTATCCGGTTTTATTTTCCCATCTATTTTTTTCGATCTAATAGTAAGGGTCGAATTTCGTATCACATTCCTATTTGTAATCTACTATTCACTTACTTCAATTTTGTAGCTGAACAAAGAGTTATGAATAGTTCGGCTTCGCGAAGATACGTAATTATTACTTTTTAGTCCTTCAAACTCATTGGCCTTCATAAATAGTTCAAGTTTGCATAATTGAGCCAGTGGTGGATCCACGGAGGGGAGGGGGTGCATGGGGGCCATGCCCCTCAAAAGCCTTAAGAGTTTCGGTTGTTCCCTTTTTTATTTGGGAAAATTGATTTATTTGTGGTAAAATTATGTAATTATTTAAAAAATCTATTGAGTAGTGTTACATGTACATTACAAAAATAATATTCAATATAATAACAAATGTATATTATTTATCAAAAATCTGTGATGTCCCCCTCCAGAATGATCGGCTAGATCCGCCTCTGAATAGAACCACTCACCGACAGTGACGTGAAATGTCCATTATTTAACCCCGAAGATAAGAACACAATGTCCAATGTTTGACGCAATTGGAAATCTCATTACTTGTTGCAGTTTCTTAGTTTAAGAACTACATTATGAGCAAAGTGCATTCATAATAAAGATAAAACCAACTTAATGACCTTTTACTTGCTTAAGAACTCACATTTTTAATTGCTCACCAGTAAAATTAGACAAAAGTGACACAGACCTCCCATGTAGAAAATTACACTCGCTATAAGTTCATAGAGCAAACGCTCTATGAGCAAGTCACTATGAGATACTACGCAGTGATATTCGATTGCAAATTGATATGTTGGATAGAAGGGCGTAATTCAGAAAACACAGTTTTGAGATAATCAAGAAAAACTTAATACAAGGTGTATTTCTCACATATGTTTTTTAAAAAGCTTATATATTACATGATAAATCGTGTTAATAACTGACTGAACTCACAAAATAAACTAAAATGCTCAAATATGTGTATTTAAATTAATTTTAAAATATTTAATTGCAGCCTTATTCCATAGAACAAGCTAATTTTGAAAGAAATAATTGTTTCTTTCTATGAAAGTCTGCATGTATTTATTAATTTCAGAAATACATTTCGTAGAGATTATTTTTAATAGGTTTCACTTTCAAGTTCATTGCAATAAACTGAACCTTGCATAACAATCATTGACACCAATGTAGTGTTAAATATATCTTAACATAAACATTCATATATTAATCGTAGAGTGACAAATCATTATAATTTTATACATACGAATTTTCCTCAACGAGTGATCTAGTTTTTACCGCTATTTAGGGGTCCTTTCTTCAATTCTTGTTTTCTGATTTTCAGAAAAGTTTTCCTTTTCGGTATTTTATTTTAATCTTTAACACTATGTAAATAAACATTTGAATATGTATCACTCGCTATCTACTCCGATGAAAAATCAGATACATCGGACAAATTCACATCATCTGATTTCATAGCCATCCTGTCGATGTTCTAATCACAGGGAAATAAAATGATGCAAGTTCGTAGAAGTAACGATGTTACGAAAAAAGAGCACAATTTAGTATTTCAAAAGCTATATATTGGGGGTTAGCGCAATACTATTTGGAGGGGTGGAAGAAAGTCACCGAAAGAACGTTTTAAAACGTTTTAGGGAAAAACACCATAATTCGAGTTATGCCCTTCTTCCAGCCAACTCCTCAGTTTGATTATCGCCATAGCGTCTTTTTAATGACTTAATGCTATCCGAGTCGTTTCATTTTTCAGGGACCTTGCTTCCCTCCAGGCATAGGGAAAATTCTGTGGCACACTTTCTTCGCTTCTACTGTCGATTCTCCTTAATCTACATTTGTATTTGTATTTAGCCGTTACATGTCCCGTAAAGGGCAATTGGTCTCGGCGCAGATATACCCCGGGGGTTCGTTGTCGGTCACCCAACCAGGAAACCACGTCTCGAAATCTATTAACCTTCGTGACTTTACGTAGTTCACGAATTCGACTAGCGACGCCAGTTTCGCGGTCGTGGCCTCACCGTTGACCCATCACAGCATTCGCCTGGATGACATAGAGAAACCATGAAACTCAGGACGGGCGGCACGGGTATAGAACCCGGGCCTTCCAGATACGATCTCAGCGCGCTACGCCCTGAGCCACTTCGCTCAGTACTCTCCATTACCTAACTCTAATGCATGACAGAAAATGCGCCTATAATTTTATGTATGTTATTTTACAACGTATTGCCAGACGAAATTAAACAAAGTCTACACATAAGTTTTAATGCCAAGTAAAATCTCTTGTGCTGCATAACTGTACAATTATTTTGCATTCTGAACCATTCGATACTACATTGAGCACCGAAAACGAAAATAATAAGTTTAGACAGGATTTTCAGGTGATTCGCCCACTTGTTACGTAACTTACTATTCACAATTTGGAGAAAATTTCAAATCAGGATTTGAATTTAACACTTTATATATTTTCTCGTTAACAGCCACACCCACATCTCCAAACACCAATTCCAAAGACATTTAAATGTCTGAAATAATTTTAATGACTCCACTAGAAGTAGCCTTGATGTTTCTCATATCTTAATTGCTGTACGCAATTGTATAAAATATGATTAAGTATACACTAATTTGAAAACAATTCGAAAATTTATATTTTTGGAATCTTGAAAACATCTGCAAAAAAATTATTTATAATTTCCAGAAAATAATTACTTTTACTTTAATAAAAATTAAAGAATTTTTTTTGCTTCACTTCTATTTCATTGAAATTGTTTTACCCATTTTCAAGTTTCAGCAACTCAAACTATAATATTTCTGCAGCAACAATGATTTTTATACAAAACACATCGACTAGGAAAACGCCATCAGTATGTAGTAATATTTTTTTTTTAAATTTATCACTACTTCCTTTTCATTACAGAAGTTGCAATAGACTAGATTTCATTCGTTCTTATACAATAGCTGTTTCCAATTGATCATAATTATTGTAAGCAAGCCATTCTACACTTTATTTCGGGCATAAAATACGTATATTAATCATCCGTCGAACGCAAGCAGACTGAGAATCTGCACTTGGTTATTTTCCCCTCCCATTGTCAGTTATCAAGAGATACTTAGTTATGGCTTCCCCTACCTCCCTTACCCCTTGTGAATTATTGTTTGGTTGTAGCTCAAAGAGCGTGTGTTCGCTGTACAAACCTAGCAAATGTACCGGAAGGTTGAAATGTATTGTATAACAAGAAATGAGAAAGACAACTGCGAGCTGATAGAATAATATGACATTCATACAAAATATGCATCAATTTCGAAATTAACACATTATGCAAAAAATAAGGAATAGTATTTAATACGCTGGATACGAGCATTAATATGCAGCATTACATGAAGAAACGTCCAAACGTGCATAATGCATGAATTTCTCCAAAAAACTACCAAAGCCTGAAAACTAGCAATTTAAACGACGAATTTAGGATCATCTGATTTTCCTTGCCCCAGACTTTTTCTGCCACTCATTGTCAAGAAATTCACTTTTCGTACTTTCTGTGTCAAACAAGTAAAGTAGACTTGACGCAGTTCATGTTCTGGAGAAACTTTACAGCAAGGCCGTCTGACTATGGAGATAGCGAACGATTCTTGGATGGATTCGCGTACGCAACGTTCTCCGCGATTCCTGGACTGATTCCCGTAGAAGGAAAGCGCGAGTTATCAAACTATAAAAATGCTGTGACCATGGAAGAACATAACGCGTTGTTTCATTAAAATAAATTTATTAAAATCATGTATTATCTGAAATAGAAAGTAATTCGCCTGTAACAAAAGCGACTCTGCTACTGTTATTCGATGTAATCTGACAATGCATTCCGTCCTAAGAAGATAATAAATCAACAGTAATCTTCACTACGTTTCTCTTTCTTGTCAAAATAGTTAAGCATTCCTTGATGGCCGCACAGATTGATCTATGAAATGTGCGTGGCAGCTGAAAAGAGAGAATATTTACAAGTGTCTTTTTGAAAAATTAATCGATCACACGAAAAAATGGCTTTTATCAGAAATGAACACTTAATGGAGGTGTCCATTTGAGCATTTTTTGCTGTACTTCAGCTTCTGGAGTCAATGACTCCTATTGATTATTTTATCCGGTTTTTCTACATCTATTACGCAAATTTTAAGATAATCCCTTGTTTGGCTCCTAGACATAGATGTCTGATGCAGTAGCTTCACTATCTGCGCAAGTTGTGTAGAGTTTTGTAGGGACTAGATATTTCAACAATAATGCCACATAATATTTTTCAATATCCCCATAAGAAATTTGGGGTAAGTGCAATTATGGTTGCCATGTTTTAGAATAACGCAGGTGTAATCCTTACGTATTGCGTTCCAAAGGTCACAACGGTGACAAGTGCGAGCTACCAAGATGTTTTGAAGAAAAAATCTCCTTCCAACACTGCCAGAAAAAAGCCCCGAAAAGGCTGCATGTGTTCTCTTTCACCAAGTCATCGCACCAGCGCATCGGGCGAAAGCGACCCAGGAATTTCTTCGCGAAAACAACTTTGAAGTGGTTTGTCATGCTCCCTACTCACCTGAGCTGGCTCCAAGCTAGTTTTGTCCTTTTCCAACGATGAAAGAAGCGCTCCATGGTTGCACATTCTTCAGCCGTGTCGCTACTGCAACTGCGATTTTCCAATGGTCGAAGCAGACTCCTGAAGAAACGTCACGGAATCATGGCGTCGACGTTGTAAGGTGTGTGAACGATTGCAGGAGATTACGTGGAGAAATGGCATGTTTCAATTTATTTAAAGTAAATATTGTGTGAAAAATAAAATTGGAGACCCTGTAACTTGAACGCATCTCATAGTTTACTTATGAGCAAAGGTACCTACGAGCATAATTGGCAATCTTTGAAAACAAAAATGTTTGTTTTTATGTAATGGAAAATTACTTGCATTAGCGAACACGTTACATATGTGATTTTATAGTATTAACCACCCATCAAAGCTGCCCTCTGAAATAACCACACCCTTCCACTCGCATCTAGCAAAATGAGAGATCAAAAGAACATGCACAGATGGTGAAGCTACATTGCAGTTCTAATAGCAAAGCAAGGGGCCGTATGAACATTGTCTCGTTGCTTCAATGGAAACTGGATGAGATAGGGTCATTGACTAAGAAGCACAGCAGTACTTGTTACAGGCACGTTTAGCACTTAAGATTTATTCAGTACAAATGGTAACTAATGCATTAAAATCATAGTTAAAATAAATATTTTTTTCCCCATTTTGAAGCTTGATGTGGCCTTATATCGAACATTCAGCAGAAAATATTTTACTAGTCATTTGAAACACATGTGTTGATCTTAATTATTTAATTACATTTGACCATGTGTTGATAAAAATCATTTTTGTATTTATTTTATGGATTTATTATTGTGAGTAATTGAAATTTACACCTGATAAATATGATTCCTAAAACATATGTTGTAATAATAAATGTAATTGAAGAAATAATATGTGTATGGCATGAAAATATGTTCCCACTTTTGAATAAATCACTTTCGACAAAAATAGAATATGAGTAGCGCAGACTATGGTAGAAAAGCTCAATACAGAGAGAGGGCTTGCAATAATTACTTGGATGACATTTCCTTATTTCCCTTCTTATTCTTTTTTTTTTCAAGCAGTTAGATGGCGAGATATCTGCAAGAGATGTTTAAAATAAAATTGTAGTCATAATATGCTCCAACAGAATTATTATAATTGGCATAATATTTCAAATAATATGAGAATGTTTGAAGTATATTGTAGCATCACTACCATTTAATGAAGTAGGCCAAAGGTAACAAAAATGAAACCAACTGAAATTAATTTACTTCTTGATATTCTATTTTAACTGGAATTGCTTGCCGATAACTATGGGTGACAAGCTGGTAATTTTGTTTATTTCTATCTATTCAAAACCATCTTTACATTCCATGATGGAAGTTTCAAATAATTTATTTTTTTCTTTTACGAATTATGTAATTGAGTTGCAAGTGATCAAAGTATCACCACAAAATTCAATCATAAATTGATACATTGCCATCTATCATGGCATCTACAATTATACCTACATATAAATTACCATTAATAAAATCCCGTTTTTGATCTTGTTCTTAAATTGATTGCAATATTTCAATAGATCATTTGGATGCAAGATAAAAATAAAAAAATTTAAAAATTATTTCCTTGTGTCAATATTTCTTAACATAAACCTTCATTTTAAATGAGACAAACAGTTGTTACAAATGCACTGTACATGATGTGATTAAAAAATTGCAAGGTTTAAAAGGTGATATACCAAAGGATGGTTGTGTATCATGATTACTGAGCAGATTGTGAAATGTATACACTTGTTTTTTGATTGTTTTATTTTCCCATTAATAAAATATATCACACCACTGTCTAACATAGCCCTCATAATGTGAAATACATAATAAAACATAAGCATGAATGAATAATTTTATGATTTTTTCACATCCAAATGACATTGAATTGCGCCTCAGAATGAATAAGTTTTTTCTGATTTTTTTGGTGAAAATAATGTTATGACATGCTCAAACTCTCTATTGTTAGATCTTCATCAAATTAAAACTGTATTTAAATCAGATGAATACAGAAAACTTTCTATAATAAACAAAATAAACATAGTAAACTGTGTATCATTATTAGACAGCTCCAACTTTCAAAATGCTCTCCTGTAATATGTATTCAGATTTAAATAGAACCATATCATTGCGAGGTCAATCAGTCAATATATAAATGGATTATAATGACTTGTTAATAAAATTTATTTTACAACTCTTAAGTATAGCCTTAAAATATTATCTTCAATCAAAACTAAACAAAGCCACATGCACTTGTTTACCTACCTTACATTAAAAGAATACAATATTAAAATGTTCTCTTCTACAAAAGAATACAGCAACATAATTTCAAAAACACAATCAATTTTCTGTCTTGTTCTGCCATATTCTTTCCTAGATATATTTCTTCTTCCCTAATCATCAATATGAATATTGGATTGTAGAATTTTAATTTCACCTCTCTCTCTGTCATCATTTCCTGGTCAAGTTCAAAGCAACTGGTGGGATTGGGCAGATAAACAGTAGTTCAATAATTCGTTTCACAATATGTTCATTACTCTCAAATAAATCATCCCTCAATTGAACATAACACACCTTCATTTTTTTGTAACAGAATGAGAATTAATTAAAATTGTCTTGTAATGAACATCAGCAAATTAGTATCTTTCATAAACCACATTATTTGATATGGGTAATAGCTGTTTAGTTGTGTTGGGAAAAGTACAGTTATTGTATGCCCTTTTATAAGCACTTCAGATTTGCTAGGAAAATATTTCTGAGAATATATGTTTAGAGTATAAACATGTTACATAAATTGTGGAAATGCTGATGAAGTGTTATTGATGTTATTAAAGGATGAAATAATTGTAGTCATCTTTGTCAACATAGATTTATTCAGAGACCTGGCTTTTGACAGTTTTGCCTTCATCATCAGTCTCATTATAAGTGGCGAAAGTTGGGAGTCAATGCACCCATCTCCAAACTTTCAACACATGTAGCGAGACTGATGATGATGATGGCAAAACTGTCAAAAGACGGATCTCTGAATAAATCTATGTTGACAAAAATTACTTCAATTATTATATCCTAAAATAAATTAACCAAAATAATTTTTATTTTTTTTTAAATTTAAAGGCACAGGTAATGTCAGCTTCTCGGTTTCGAGTTGTGCAAGAATGGCACAAATGGTTTACAGAAAATGTTAATTATGAATCAGCATATGAAGGCTTCAACATTTTTATAGCACTTTTACTGTTTGCCTTGTATGTTTACGTAGCTGAAATTGTTGAATTTGTTTGTGACATGTATATGTAAGTAACTTAATTTGCAATTTTCTTCTTCTAAATACAATTTAATGTTACTGTATATATGTATGTATGTATATATGTATGTGAGTGGATGTGTAACTATAAAACAAAAGACAATTTGAATTCTTACAGGATAGAAAGACCAGGAATAAAAAGAAAACATGGAAAGTCAAAGAAGATGCAAGAAAGTGCAGATGCAAAGAATTCACATGAGGGCAAAGAGGTAGAAGATGACACTGCAATGCACAACAAGTAGTGAAGTATTCAAACAACAGAGGCGACTAATAACATAATTCATTGAAACAGTGCTGCATTGAAACTCATAAACAACTTCTATTTAATTTTTTGTGCTAAATGCTTTTTTTTCTCTTCATAACGTAATTTGATGAAATCATGTAAACTTTGACAATAAAAAGTTTTTTTTAGAAAACAAGTGTGCAAATCATTGCCATTAATAAAAAAAAAAATTTAAGAAGATGGGAATAACACTAAAGCAGTAACTTTATCATAGTCACCAATGTCACTTTAATTATTTATACAAAAAGATTTAAAGTTGACAAGAGAAATAAATAGACAAAAAATTCACTTGAACAGCAATGAAACTACAAAAATTAAAGCAGACTTGATAATAAAAATTAAAAATAAATACTTTTTGAAAGACAAAAAGGATACAAATGAAATAAACAAATGGAATAATGGCAAGTTTTCCAATGATATTATAATAATGTATTCATCAATTTACAATTCTATTGTTGAATGATTTCTGCAGCATCTTGCAATGACATATTTAAAACATTGTTTCAAAAAGCATGTATCAATTTGTATGATAAGTAAAAGGCATACTTTAATGAACAGTTCTTAAGTTATTTTGAAAATTCAGTCATATTGTCATAAAGACTAGTAATTTTTTATTGAACTGTGACATAATTACAGCTTTAACACAAATTTTTATTTTAAAAAGTAAATTGAGTCATACACAAAACTAACTTAAGGAACGTTAGAAATATTTCAATAGAAACATCAGATAACAAACATATTGATATACATGTACTATCTGATAGCACAGTTCTATTGTTATAACTCAAAATATTTTAGATTCATTTCAAAATTCAAAAACAATTATTACTAAAGTACATGATGAGTTTCCCTAAAGTTTGAAATAGTAGTAACATTTTTAGAGGAGTACATGTCTCTGGTACGATGAGGAATTGTAATATTAAGTTTCTTCAAGATATTTTTATATTTACTGTCAGTATCTATAATGCTGATATAAACAATTCAACTGTGTATATGTTATTCTGATTCTTGTACCAAAATAATATATATATCTACCTGGTTACTTCACTGATAGAGGCTTATTGTCATTTTCTGGTTTAAAAGAAAACCATCAATATGGGTATTAATATTTTAATTACTATCATTTATATCAAGTCACACTCTTCAATAAAATACAAATACAATTACAAAGAGACTTGTGCTCCTCATATCCTGGGTCACATGTCTTGTTGAATTTTTGATATACAAGCTTGATTATCTCATTTGCATTTGCTCAACTTTGAAGTAGTAGATTAGGAGGGGTTACTTTTTTCAATAATCACTACTTTGGTAGATAAATATTAGTAAAAAAGGCACTGCTATATTATTTTTGAGTCTTATTTAATCTTTCTATCAGGAAACGATGTAAGGAACTGATAAAATGTATTTTTGAAACAAACTTACATCCTACTCAAAACTTTAGAACTGGTCAAAAAAACAAATTATGAAAAAACTGAAAGAGTAATTTTAAAAAATTCAGGATATTTAAAAATACTTCTTGAAAGAAATTACTAAACACAGAAATGCATTTAGCACAATGTGTGAAAAATAAAGGGAATAGATTGTTAAGCATACAGAAAATAATAAACTTAAATTTGTATGTTGTTATAAATTGAAATAGTTTATATATTTATATAAAATGTAACTTTGTGCAGGCTTTGGCTACTGACTAGATGTTTAAATATACCAAGCAAGATAATGTGCTGTTTAATAATTTTTTAAAAAATTGTACATTATGTACAGCTAAGATCAATATTTAATATATTTATTTTTATACAAAAATATTATGAGAACACAGTGACATGGGCCATATATCGTGATAACATAATGGACGATCTTCCAAATGGTGTTAAAAGGTTGGCCATTTCAGATATTTCTAACCTACTGGAATAAAATTAAAATTTAAAAACAAAAAACAGATAAAGAGTTCTTTATCATAAAATGTGATTAGATTGGGTATAATTTTTAAGCAGTATCTGTTTTTGTTTCTATGGATTGTAAACATTTCATGTGACCAGCAATAGAATGGAAGTATAGCTTAGTCTGGATATAATGTTAGAAATAAAATATTAAAATTTTATTAGTGTTATCATTCTGAAACTCATTTGTGAATATCCAAAAATCTGTTTTCAAAAGGAAAAAACCTAGTACACATTCTTGATAATTAAAAAATAATGTTTAAAACATTTACATTCATTTCCAAGAGTAAAGTGGATCAGCAGTCCCTTAATGACATTACAAGAACATTATCTACACTAACAGACAAATTCCAATTTCTTTTATTACAATCAGTGTGCTAAACAATGGAGCAAACAATTTTATCAATGAAAATTAATATTTATTCTTTCTTACAAAATCATGAAATATCCATATGAATAGTTCAAAGGTTCATTTAGAACATCTGGAAGCACAGAACATCATACTGTTCCCGGCTCTATACAAGTACCAGTTATGTATGACTTGACTTGCATCGGAGAGAGTACAAGAAAGGGACACAACATACACATTTACAAAGTACGTATGTCCTTCCACTGCTTCAAAACAATTGAAAAGTAAAATTATATATTATTTACTGTGGCACATTTTAATTCAAAACAACTAACTTATTTTATACACCAATGCATGTTCTAATTGACAAGTGATGTATTTTGAAGAATATAGTCAAGATTGATTGTGGAATGAAAAGTAAAACAATATAAGCAAGCAGTGGAAAAAGATAAAAGTTCTTCAAAAGAATACATGTATACTTGTTGAGTGCATCCAACAATTTTATGATGAGTTTTCACGGTATCCTTTGTATACTTGTAGCCACAACACAAAGCAAAACAACAGGTTCTACATTGTATACAAAGAACTTTGTAAATACCAACAGAGGCAACAACATAACAGTTCTTTGGCATATCTAACTTTCATAGGGCAAGAGGCTTTTTACATAATAAAATAGTTTCTTGCCTGATTGAAATTTACAAAGTAACTCATACTTCACAGGAATATAATTAATGGAACAAGAGGATCAATGTAGTATTCGTCAAAATAGTACTATACATGTTTGAGATATTTGTTCCTTCTTGAACTAGTTAGTAGCTAGATATTCCTGGAAGTAAAGTTTGCTTACACACCTATTGATGAAATTGAGTTTTTATAATCTTTCAACATAGTTACCCGGGAACGTACCAAAGAATCCTGTTCTTTGGCTTGATCCCACATACCAACCATCATCACACTTCTCCATTACGTAGACTGTATCTCCCTCTACTAACTCCAACTCATCTTCATTCTGTGGCCTATAGTTGTAGAGAGCTCGGTACCTACAAATTATAAAAATAAGTAAATGTTATTATCATGTAAATAATATTTATATTTATTTATTTATAATAAGAAACATTAAATTTTGTAACTTACGGCACAGGTTCTGTATGAGTATCAATGTGCAATGTCTGAGACATTGGAGCAACATTTGGCTTGGCAGTTTGTCCCTGACGAGGCTAGAGAAAATGAATGCAGTCATTAATTGTAAAATAATAATAATTATTAATATTTGATTTGATTTATTTTGTCAAAGACCTGTAAAAACTGTGTGATGTATGTGGAAGAAGTATAACCTGTACATATTTTCTTAAAGTCCAGAATCTCTTCCCCACCCTTTAACCACATATAGAGAAATAAATGAAAGTGCCAACAAACAAGACTGACAAAAATTGATAAATGGACATTTTCGTTCCCGTGTTATAGAAAACTTACTTGTTTTGGTCAACAGACTACAGATTTTATTTTTTAGTATTGCTAAATAGCAGTAGCGGGATGTAGGGCGGGACAACAAATTTTCGGAGACAAATTTAAAATATATATATTTAATAGCCATTCCTTTTCATGGATCTTCAAATTTATATTATAAAATATTTACTTCTTTCTGTATTTTAAGAATAAATTTAATAATTAAGTGAGCCATAATTTTATTAAGCTGTTAATAACATACATTATTAAATTAGTTCAGTATTATAAAACACTCAGGATAACATTACTGTGAATAACTCTTATTGATAAACCATCTTTCAATTATAGTTTGCTTTTAAACATGGTTTACTTTGAAATTAAACAGTTTTGTGACTAAAATCATGAGTCATAACTCTCAAAACAAAAATAAAAAATAAAAAAAATCCCCACATATTGTAGACAATAGATAGAAATAAAACTATAAATACTTTTCATCTTGGCAAAACCCTAATATTGCATTTTGCATTTTAATTAAAATAATTTATTAATGTAGATTTTAGATATTTGTATCCTGCTATAATGTATAAAGATTTGTGAACATAATAAATAATTAACACTTTCAATATTTGAATTTTTAATTTGGTGATTTTATATAGCATATTAGTGTATATTTAGAGCATTTTGTGTTATTGCATCTTATTTCCACTATATTAAAGTTATTATTCATATTTTATTGCTTTTTTGTTCATAATGTGACATATTTCTCTTGGATTTTCAATGAATATGCATATTTGTCTCCTCAAACGGAAAAGTGTACTTCACAAAGCCCTAGATCCACATTTGAAGTACTTGAAGTAAAATAAAAAATAATAATTACATCTGTAAAAAATCTTAAATCTGTAATCATTGGCTAGTAATAATAATATTAAGAAATCTTCAAAACATTATTAATATATCCATTTTAAAAACATGTGTGGGCTTACATATATTTTTGAAGACATAATATTTTACACATAAGAGATGTCACTAACTTACCAAAGTTGCATAAGGATTACTTGAAGTATACGATGCAGCTAGTCGATTATAATAGCTTGAACCTGCCGGTTGTTGAGTTTGATATTGGTATGACTGTTTAGTGCCACTGCCATTCATTAACAATGAACGTGAAGAAGAAGAGCTTGCGGTTTTAGTTGTTGAAGTAACAGGGGTAGCTAAATTTGAATAAAGAAAAACAATACATGTATAATTCAAAGAATCATATTAAAAGAATAACTACATAAGAAGATTTATTAAAATTAACTCTAGTTTCTTTGTTTTCAAATAATTGTTTTTCACATCAAGCAAGATAATTTTTATGTTCATAATTTTGGGGAATGAAATATTAAGCAAACTCCTTTAATTTTATAAAAACTTTGTAGCTAATGTAAAAACATTAAACAGATATGTGAAAATATATTTATGTCCGTTTTTTACCTGCTCTGTCTCCAGGTTCAGAAATAACCTCCACATATGACACTGGGAAAATTCCTTTCCTATTTCCAATGCGGCCTTCATACCAATTCTCATCCACTCTCCTAGTAAGAACTACCAATTCACCTGTAAACAAAGTTTTTAATAATAACAATATAATTAATAAACTGAATAGTGTAAATTTCAAAATGTTAAAAAAATTATTGAAAATTGACCAAGTTAATGATGAGAAAGAATGAAAAAACTTCTCTTACCTTTTACCAATGATAGTTCCAGATGAGTTTGTGCAATGAAGTTGAATTTTGCTCGAGCTTGTCCTTCTGTGGGTCGCTTTGGAATAGTTCGAATACCGTCATAAGGTATAATCTGTGGGCGAGTCATGTTCACTCATGAAATTGAATGAGGACGAGACAGAATTATGAAAACATACATATGATATATTCTGGAAAATTACCTCTACGTAGTTCAAAGGAAAAAGGCCAACCATTGCATTGTGTTCTCCTTCATACCAATTCTTATCTATTTGTCGTCTAACAAATATTATGTCACCTCGACGGAAGCTAAGTTCTCTGGAAGAAAAAAAATACCAAAACATTGGTTTGATAAATAATAGCAATAGTTTCATTAAGACAATATAATTTTTCAGTACATTAAGCTCATTAAAATATAGAAGCATTTTAAATCTTAGAAAGAGGAAATGAGTTTACATTTTACATCTTTTTTTAAGTTTATTACCTGGAAGTTTGTCCCACAAAATTGTAGAGGGCACGGGCCACTAGTTTAGGTTCAGGAGTGCGATCTCTAGTCTTCTGTTTTGTGGGAATATCATCCAAAATATCATCATACCGATTCAGCGGTATGGGTGACTTCTGAGAAGGACTGAAATGAAAATAAAAGATTAACTACTGTAACAATACTCAGCAATTAATTACTCAATAAAAATAATGTAGTAAATTGCTGGATCCGTCTTCTGTATATTTTTCCATAATTTTAAACAGAAACAAGTTTTGAAGAAAAATGTTATTTTTTATCATTTTAATTTTTTATTAATATATTTATATTTTTAATAAAAATTTTAAAATAAGAAAAGTACATAAATACTCAAAGAGCTCCTCATCATCACATTGATTTTCTACAAAGTAAATGACTAATTTTATAATTTAAGAGCTTGCAATCAGACTGCTATGTTACATTTGACAAAAAAATAAATATATTACCACTCTAATCTCCATATTATCTCTAAGAGTAACCTAAATTTCAATTTTGGCAAATTTTGGTATACAGTTTATGGTAAAGATTTCTTGTAAGTTTAGTTAAGTAGTGGATACTTTTTGTCTCAACTGACTGTCAGTCTGCAGTGGAAGAGGACTCTCTGCCCCTGAGCCCATCAATTATATTAATTTTCAATTCAATACTGACTAAAGGAACCCAGAGGTGAACCCTTGGGCCCATAGTCACTGACGGCCTTAAACAAAAGGAGGGACTACATTTCTGGGTCCCATTTCTCCTAACCTTTTTTCTTTACAAATGACACATTTTAGAAGTAAATAAATAAACAAACACACTAAAAGGAGAAAAAAACAGGGATTGAACATATTTTGGAAAATGAAATGAAACAGTAACGTAAAACAGAATGTTCGGTGGTAGGGAAGACCCTTTGTGCACACGCCCATGGCTCTGCCCTCGGAGCTGATTGATTGATTGATTGATTGATTAGGAATTCTGGGCGCGTCAACTGCTGAGGTAATTAGTACCGTAAGTTTAGTGCATGTTTTATGGGTTGTGATCCCCCCTGGATGGCGAGATCCGTCCTCGCACTACACATCGGCTGGTGGGGTGTTCCGCGATCAGGCATCTCCCACCAGTAGGGTGTAACGTATTCCAGAGATAACATACATTATTAAATAGCTTCAGTAAATCTATAAAACACTCAGGATAACATTACTAGTGAATAACTTTATTGATAAATCATCTTTCAATTATAGTTTGCTTTAAACATGGTTTACTAGAAATTTAAACAGGTTTGTTGACTAAAACAAGTCATAACTCTCAAAAAAAAAAATAAAAAATAAAAAAATCCCCACATATTGTACGACCAATAGAATAGAAAATAAAACCTATAAATTACTTTTCCATTTGGCAAAAAACCCCTACATATTGCGCAATTTTTGGCAATTTTAATTAAAAAATAAATTTATTAATGTTAGATTTTTTTATGATATTTTGGGTATCCTGCCTATAATGTTAAAGATTTGTTGAAAAACCTAAATAAATAATTTTAACAACTTTCAATTATTTTTTTGAAATTTTTTAATCTTGGGTGATTTTATATAGCGCAATATTTAAGTGTATATTTTAGAGCCATTTTGTGTTATTGGCATCCTTAAATTTTTCCACTATATCTACAAGTTATTAATTTCTAATTTTTTTATATTGGCTTTTTTTTGTTCCATAAATGTGCACCAATATTTCTCTTGGATTTTCAATGACTAATGCAATACTTTGTCTTCCTCAGACGGAAAAAGGGGTACTTCACAAAAGCCCTAGACCACATTTGAAGTACTCTGAAGTAAAATAAAAATAATTAATTACACGTCTCGTAAAAAATCTTAAATTCTGTAAATCATTGGCCCTAGTACCATAATATATTCAAGAAATCTCAAAAGCATTATTAATTCTATCCATTTTAAAAACATGTGTGGGCTTTACATATATTTTTGTGACATACATATTTTAACACATAAGAGAGGTATAACTTACCAATAGTTGCATAAAGATTACTTGAAGTATACGATGCAGCTAGTTGGATTATAAATAGCTTGAACCTGCCCGGTTGTTGAGTTCTGATATTGGTATGACTGTTTAGTGCCACTCGCATTCATTAACAATGAAACGTGAAGAAGTAAGAAGCTTGCGGTTTTAGTTGTTGAAGTAACAGGGTACTAAATTTGAATAAAGAAAAACAATACATGTATCAATTCAACCAGAATATATTAAAAGAATAACTAAATAGAGCAGATTTATTAAAATTAAACTCTAGTTTCTTTGTTTTCAAATAATTGTTTTTCACATCATAGCAAGAATAATTTTTATGTTCATAATTCTTGGGGGAATGAAATATAAGCAAACTCCTTTAATTTATAAAAAACTTATCGCTAGCTAATGTAAAAACATTAACAGATATGGTGAAAATATATTTAAATGTCCGGTTTTTACTCTGCTCTGTCTCCAAGTTCAGAAATAACCTCCCAATGACAACTGGGAAAATCCTTTCCTATTTCAATGCGGCTTCATACCAATTCATCCACCTCTCCTAGTAAGCAACTACCAATTCACCTGTAACAAAGTTTTTAATAATAACAATATAATTAATAAACTGAATAGTGTAAATTTCAAAATGTTAAACAAAATTATGAAAAATTCACCAAGTTACATGATTGAGAAAGAATGAAAAACTTCTCTTACGCTTTTTACAATGATAGTTCCAGATAGTTTGTGCAATGAAGTTGAATTTCGCCTCGGGAGCTGTCGCTTCTGTGGGTCGCTTGGGAATAGTTTCGACATACCGTCATATCCGGGGTATAATCTTGGGAGAAGTCAATGTTCAACATCATCGAAATTGAACTGACGGACGAGACACGAATTATGAACAACATACATATTGATACATCTGGAAAATTACCTCTACCATAGTTTCAAAGGAAAAAGGCCACCCATTGCATTGTGTTCTTCCTTCATACCGAATTCTTATCTATTTGTCGGCTAACAAATATTATGTCACCTCGACCGAAGCTAAAGTTCTCTGGAAGAAAAAAAGTACCCAAGAACATTGGTTTGATAACTAATAGCAATAGTTTCATTAGACAATTATCAATTTTTTCAGTAGCATTAACGCTTCATTAAAATTATAGAAGCATTTTTAAATCTTAGAAAGCACGGAAATGAAGTTTACATTTTAGCAATCTTTTTTTTAAAGGTTATTTACCTGGAAAGTTTGTCCCCACAAAACTTAAGAGGCACGGGCCACTAGTTTAGGTTCAGGATGCGATCTCTAGTCTTCTGTTTTGTGGGAATATCATCCAAAAATTCAACATAACCTATTCAGCGGTATGGGTGACTTCTGAGAAGGTTATGAAACTGAAAATAAAAAGATTAACTACTGTAACAATACTCAGCAATTAAATTATATCAATTAAAATAATCGTAGTAAATTGCTGGATCCGTCTTCTGTATATTTTTCCATAATTTTAAAACAAGAAACAAGTTTTGACAGAAAAATGTTATTTTTTTAATTTTTAATTTTTTATTAATATAATTTATATTTTTAATAAAAAATTTTAAAATAAGAAAAAGTACATAAATACTCAAGAGAGCTCCTCATCATCACATTGATCTTTCCTACAAAAACTAAAATGACCTAAATTTTATAAATTTAAAGCTTGCAATCAGACTGCTATGTTAACATTTGACAAAAAAATAATATAATTACCACATCTAATCTCCATATTATCTTCTAAGAGTAACCTAAATTTAATTTGGCAAATTTTAGTATATCAGTTTTATGGTAAAGATTCTTGTAAGTTTAGTTAAAGTACGTGGATCACTTTTTGTCTCAACTGACTGTCAGTCTGCAGTGGAAAGGACTCTCTGGCCCTGAGCCCTCAATTATATCTTAATTTTCAAATTTCAATACTGACTAAAGGAACCAGAGTGAACATCCCTTGGGCCCATAGTCACTGATCGGCCTTAAACAAAAAGGAGGGACTACATTTCTGGGTCCCATTCTCCTAACCTTTTTTCTTTACAAATGACACATTTTAGAAGTAAATAAATAAACAAACAACATCTACAAGGAGAAAAAAACAGGGATTGGAACATTTTTTTCGCGATCAGGCATCCCGCATCCAGTAGGCAAACGCCCCAACTGGAGTTACCTCTAAGCTCCCTGCTGGTCCCCAGACACAGTGTGATAGTGTAGTGCCATGTAAGTGTAAGTGTGTAAGTAAGGGGGCGAGGAATATGCACAAGAGAAAGGACAAGACGCGCGCTGTCCATGGCGCCGTTTGTTAGGGTCTGCCCTGGCATTCGACTGATTTTGATAAAAGAAACCCCAGAAAACTACCCATAGAACAGCTGACCACCACAATCTCC